GCTTTATGAAAAAAAAAATGTTTATATGCACTATTAAAATGCAACATGAAATCAAAATGGACCTTCAGCAAATAAAAAAAATGCATTATGAATTATCCACAAGACTTTCGATCATCTACGGAACACAAATTAAGATATTTTTAATGATATCTGAGAGCTTTCTGTCCCTCCATTGAACAATTATTCACCCAAAACTTACTTTTAGTTTAGCTTATGCTTTTATCCACATAAACATTGATCAGTGAACAATGTTTAAAGCATTTAATTTTGGTAAACGGAAGCTCGTGCGTGCTTGCTTGATGCATGGGATTGGGAATGAAGTTCATTCTTGCGTGTTACGCAGGTTTGTTCTCACGCGGTTTAGCAAACAGGTTGAAATACAACGTTTTTTCATGAAACTCCATTTGAGGCGACCATTTAAACTTATAAAACTTAAACATTGTTTTTTTGTTGTTGTTTTTTTAATGAGCGATCGTTTCACTTGATAAGACCCTTATTCGTCATCTAAAATCGTTTAAAGCACTTTGAACCATTTTCAGTTTGTATTGAACCGTTTGGTTCCCATTGAAGTCCATTATATGGAGAAAAATCCTGGAATGTTTTCATCAAAAACCTTAATTTCTTTTCGACTGAAGAAAGAATGACATGGACATCTTGGATGACATGGATGGGGGTGAGTAAATTATCAGCAAAAGTTTTTAGTTTTTTTTTTAAGTGAACTAATTATTTCAACAGAAAAAAATAATTCCAGATATAAAGAAAATGATTGCATTTTAAAGGAAAATTAATTAACAGAGCTTTCTGGAAATAAAACAATTCAGTCTACATCAAATAAACAACAGCAACATTCCTCGCAAAGGACGCTTTGTCAAGTCAGCCGTTGAATAACGAATAACCGCACGGTGTTCTAGGTGTTGTGTGTGGCCTGCTGGTGCCAGATGCCAGCGCAACTCCCCTGACTCCTCACCCTACTTACACACATCAAACTGGGCAACTGGTGGCAGAAACCTGATCAGAGGGGGTAAAATCAGAGGGCACCTTTCACAAGAACTGGGCAGGTTGCCCAACGGTCCACAGGAGGGGGCAAAAAATAGGGTCTGGTTGGAATGGTGTGTGTCTATGATGTGTGTGAAGGCGTCTTGGCACTAGCTTTCCGGAGCCGGCACGGGAAACAGAAGGTCGAGTCCCACAATAGTCTCCCACGGGGCATCCACAATACCAGCTCAATGACCGCAGTCAACAATACTCTCAAGGCCTTTTATTCAGAGAGTTCAATGGACCAGACACACCCAGCGGCACTTTCCTACACAAAACAAGACCCTGGCAGGCTGGCACACACACACACACACATACATATTCATACACCTTTATATAAATGACAATATTGCTACTATAAAAGAGGCTTTCAGTCCAGGATCAGTCTAGCATCACTGCCATGGTTGTTGCCATTTCACAGTGTCAAGGACGCTACTTTAAAACTTAGAAGTTAGCCCTTAAAAGTTTATTAAACATTCAAATTAGTACATTTTGAGTAGTAGAATGCATATAATATTATATTATTTTGTATACACAATATAATCAATATTAAACAACAATACAATACAGATTCATTTTTTTTTTACTTTAAAGTGATTCATTTAAATGAACCATGTAGATGAATCAGTTTAAATGAGTGATCGCATCGATTTATTTTAGGGCTGTCAAATGATTAATCGTGATTAATCGCATCCAAAATAAAAGTTTGTGTTTACATAATATATGAGGGTGCACTGTGTATAATTATTTTGTATATATATTAGATAAATACATACTATACATGCATGTATATTTAAGAAAAAAATTAAATTTATATTAAAAATATTTATATTTATATATAATTATAAATTATATATAAATCTCTATACAGTATATACATGAAAATATTTCTTAAATATATACAAGCATGTGTGTGTATTTATATATATATATAAAATAATTATACACAGTGCACCCACGTATATTATGTAAACACAAACTTTTATTTTGGATGCGATTAATCGCGATTAATCGCTTGACAGCCCTAATTTATTTAAAGTTATTTTTCGATTGAACTGATTCACTAAAAAATATTTGACTGATTCATTTTAGGCAAGTGTATTAGATTATAAGCTCAGTTTTGAAGGTAGCTGTTACCTGTTATGCTAATTAAAAGTTAATAGCATCACATTTAATTGGTTGCTCCCGGTTAAGACTTGGCATAATGTACAATAAGTTAAATCACTTCATCTTAGTTGTAAGATCAGACAAGAAGAACTAGTATTGATCATTTGAGAAGGGGAAAATGCAAGTGTATAGTCATTAAGCAAAGAATGAATGTAGCACAGGCCTCTGCAGCAAAAAACGATTTACTCCTTCCATTTCTCTTGCGCTGTGCTTTCGCTCCGAAAATGTTTATTTGTCTAAAAAGATCTACAAACAATCACTTCACTCGACAGGAGAGAGAGAGCTTTCCAGTCAGGAGGAGATTTAATTAGGGAAATCTCATTAGGTTTAACAAAATTAAGCGTAAAACAATCCTCGGCAGGGCTCCGAGAGCGAGAGGGAGAGAAAGAAAGGGGGAATTTGGGGTTTTGAGCGATTAGAGTCAGGAGGATATTGAGATAGTCACTTCCATGCTGCTGTGGGGGAAAATGGCACTAGATACCCAGCTGTTTTCACACTCAATTAAAGAGACTCGCCTGGCGTTTACCCCCTCTGAAAAGCAAAGAGTTAACCATTCTGCATATTGCCGCACACACTCAGGTTCTCCCTCTCTCACTCATCCACAACGTAATTCCACCCTGAGCCCACGAACCATTAAAGACACAAATTGTGTTTTCGAACAAATTCGCACTCTATAAGGACATAACAGAAAGTGCTATTAAAGTGAGGAAACAAACTCTTAAACAACACAGCTGGGGTGATTGCAGACGAACAGCAAGCATTGGAAAATTCATTTCAAACTTTAGGCTATCTGTAAAAGCCCAATTCTGAAATAACCAGCAAGGAATAACTCTACGGCTCCTGAAGAGCGATATCACTGCAGAGAAATCACAGGTTTGACTATTCTAGGCAGCTCGATAGGTGACACTGCATATTTATCAGCCCTCCATGATAAAGTGAGAGAACTTTATGTGCTATCAATGCTTTAAAAAAAAAAATCCATTGCAAAAAGTATAATTATAGAAGACCATTGTATACATGACTTGAAAAGCTGTTAGGTGAATTTGTGGAAACCTCAGTTCACATCAAAGTACAAGAAAAGTGTTTGGCAACCAAAATGGCTCTGGTCCAACACCTAGTGAGTGGCCTAACACCTTACCGAAACTGAACCTCATAAATGACAGATTAAGAATGAGCAACATCAGCAGCAACTCTATTGCACAAAATATCATTCTTCATGTTAAGCGTATGGTTCACAATTGATTTCGATGGAGTTCGTCATTAGCATGTTGTTTAGCTAAAAATGTGGTATTCTAAAAAGCAGAAAAACAACACATACAAAAAATGTGTAAAATAGCATTTTTTATATATATATATTTATATATTTAAGTAATTCGCACAATTTTAGTATTAAATGAACAATTTGTGTATGTAATACAAACATACAATTTAGCTAAAAACATGGTATTTTAGACATGGATGCGCGCCACTCACAATTTAAAAGGATGGATTTAAATTGAATTGTAAATGGTGCAGATTTGAAATTTGAATGTGAAGAACAATTAAAACTGACTGACAGACAGACAGTTAGACAGCTAGTCAGACAGACAGGCAGACAGATAGAATGACAGATTGATAGAACGATAGAAGACAAAAAGAATATAATTAATTGAAAAAACAATATAACGAACAACAGAATGAAAGAGACAAATAGTTTGACAGACAGACAGACTGGCAGGCAGGCCGATAGACAGGCAGGGAGACAGATAGAGACAGGCAGATAGAGACAGGCAGACAGACAGACAGACAGACAGACAGACAGAAAGACAGACAGACAGACAGGTAGATAGACAGGCAGGAAGGCAGGCTGACAGACAGGTAGACAGACAGATAAACAGACAGGCAGACAGACAGACAGGTAGGGAGACAGATAGAGACAGGCAGACAGACAGACAGGCAGATAGACAGAAAGGCAGACAGGCAGATATACAGACAGACAGACAGACAGACAGATAGAGACAGGCAGACAGACAGACAGGCAGACAGACAAAAAGGCAAGCAGACAGACAGAAAGGCAGGCAGACAGTCAGATAGACAGGCAGACAGACAGACAGACAGGCAGGCAGATAGATAGACAGTTAGAATTAATTTTAAAATAAACGATAACACAAACACCAGAATGACGGACAGACAGACATAGATAGAAGATCTGCACAATTCTGGATAAATTGAGAATCACAATGTTTTGTTTAAAATAGAGATCACGATTCTCAGACGATTCTGAATTGACTACACAACAAAATAACATGTGCTACAGTCTATTTAACAAATATTTCATTCATTTGAATTGTGTTTTTATGAATGAATGAATGATTCACTGAAAAATTATTTTTCAACAGTCACCTGTTTAACTTTTATCCCAGTACTTCTGTGATAATTTGAATGTTCGTAACACATAAATAATGATACTGTGTGGTTGAAAAGACTGTTTATGAAGTGGTTTCATACCCATAAATGACAACTGCTCTCTCTGGGTAGGTGGCAGCGCCAACACAAATTGTAATGTTTGCTGTGATTGTTCTAGTCAAAGGTTTAATAAACATCGCGTGAGTGTTTGAATCGAGATTACGAGATTACTTTTAACGATTAATCGTGCAGCTCAAATAGATCGATCAATCTATAATCTATGATCTTAGACGGCTGCCAACATATCAGGGGTACGTCTATGACGCCTTAAAATACTGCCTACATAGGCAGCTTTTGTAACATAGCAAATGTGTTTTTGAATAAGCATGGAAAGTTTTGATTTAGGAACTTACAGTTTGCTTGTTCTCAGCATTGGAACATCTGATGTTGGCGTCGGTCCAACGGCGCACTGCCCTCCAGACAGTCTACAACACAAGAGAAACCGTCTGAGTACTTTTACATCTAATGGTCTGTTCACCAACGGCTAACCTGAGATCATTACTCCGAAGGCAAAACAACACAACTTGTAAAATGACCAAATGTTGATTTAGGTTTAGCCAGCACTACATGCGTTTCAGAATGGGGATCTTTTTATTGACGCTGTTTGATACCCGTGGGCCTGCTGACCCCACAATTCGAAAAGTAATTTGATATTGCGTGGGAAGGTATATGTATGTGTGGGCCCTGCTGTTCTGGCTTAATAAAGGCTGTATGTGTGTGTGCGTGAGCTCGGGTAGGTGGGCAAACAAAGATAAAGTCAGGGGCGGGAATGGCAGACATGGCGGCCAGCCCCCCACGCTTCAGTCCGCCGCCAGTATAGGTTTGTGTGAAACCTTTCCCGAGTTTCTTCCACACTACAAAGAAAACATTTTAGGGTTCTTGTAATCCCTCCCGCAGCCTCTCAAAGCCCCAACGTCCTCCATAGCCATACAGTCCGCAGCCCACCCCCCTCTCCCCCTCACGAGACCTGATCTGCCTTCCTGTTGACGTCAAAGTGAATTAGAGCAAGGAGAGCGCAGCGGCTCCCCCCGGGGGGCTGGAGGGCTAATCATGCTGTTCCTCACTGGCCTCAGAGGAAGCATTAGCGTTCCTGTTGCAGCAGACCACCACATCTACAGCTCACGGCCCCTATACACAAACAACCAGGACACCAAACACACACACAAACAGCTTATTTACAGAAATAAACACTAAAAAGTCCCTCATACACACCACAGTACCCTCCAAACCAGACGAACAGAAGATTTGTGGGTTTGCTCTTCCCGCCCCTCATTCAAAACCCCAAAGAAAGTTGAACTTTAGGGTAAACCTCCTTCTCTAATACACAGAGCACCTCTGTGAAATACCTAATCCCAGCCTCCCTCAGTCGCCACACCGACCTCCTGCACTCCCTCCAGCCGCTCTGAATAATGATCCCACATATAGAGAAGGAGACGTTTGAGGAGACTTGTGTGGCTGACCCGATTCCAGCTGAGATGAATGCGGCTGGGCTACTCTCTAAAGTTTGATACTGTGTTATTTTACTATTATTTATACATGATTTTAGTATTTATTAACATTTTGAATTAGATTTTATTATTATATATTCGTTTATGTATTAGTAATGTTATGTGCTTTTTGATATGTCTATATAGCTTTAAATAAATAAATCTTATTTTAGTTTCAGTAATTTTAGTACTTCAACTTAAAGGTGCTATATGTAACTTTTCTTTTAAAAAAGTGTGTGAAAGGGTTGTAATTACACATTACACTTATCCAGTTGTCGGGTTTTGCTATTACCTCTGAAGGCCAGTATTCCTATTTCTATGTGAAGTCTCTGGGTCAAATTTTTTGCGAAATCCATCGGATGTGACGTGTATGCGCAATCTCCTTTTTATACAGTCTATGCGACGGCACTACAGAAAACGACATGAGTCTGATAACACCAAAACACTCCTGCCTTTCAGCACAACACACACTCCAACACAAACTCCACATAAATATAAAAAACAAAACAAAACTGTATCTGCTGAAGCTCGTCAGGCCAAACGTGAATCGGATCGACTCAGGACGAAAACACGGATCAACATCGGCAGAGCGTTTGAATTATGGAGAGAGCTCCGCTATTTTTATTGTGATAAATTACAAGTTTTCAGATATGCTGAAATAATGGTAAACTGTAACGAAATAGCAAGGTTAACTGCAACATACTTGAGACATGAAATGAATACAAAAGACTATTCCAGGATAACAAAAAGTAGATGCTTTAGGATGTGACTTTTATTTTCTGTACTAGATCTACTGTCTAACGTCACTCATCCCACTACTATCATATTGTTTATAAAACACATTTCCAGACACGTTCAGTACAGTAATGTTACTTCCTACGATCTTACTGTTACACTGAAATTGTTCAGTCTAGTTCACTAACCGTTTTCGTTATCATATTATACATTCACCTATGTTGACAAGATACGAATAGTTAGTGAAATGCCTTATGCTAGATGACACCACAAATGTAACGTTATCACGGTACGAGCATGAGCATTAGTTCAACGTCAATCTGATAAAAGTTTCCTATTATTGTAACCGTATAGGCCGGCACCATGATCGCTCATGTTCGAGCACGAGCGCTCTTGTAAAAATTGGTTGCGATCTGAAACATCACCGATAGAGGCCGCTAAAAAATACATATAGCACCTTTAAGAGCCAGTCACACCAATGACAATAACTATAAAGTTTTAACAATCTTTCTAATTCTATGAGAATAGAAAACAGCTATAACAATAACAAAACAAAGGAACAATATTATTGTAATCACTTTAAGGATGATTTTTTGTTGACAGCCAATCAGAATCCACCCATCTTTAATGAGCTTGAGCTTTCAAATCAGTGAGTTTTCTTCGACGCAGTGTGATGGGAAAGAGATTAGAACATCTCTGCATAAAAGAAAGTGAATGCTCGTGTCAGTCTAAACAGATGCATTAACAGACCTTCATTCAAATGAAAGTGTTTATCGCACCGAACATTCGTCTTTGTGTGAACAGGCCTTTAGTGGATTAGCACAATAAAACATAATATATATCATTATATTATATTAGATGTTTTTACCAGTGCCGGACGTCTCTTAAAAAGCAAGAAAGGAATTTAATCCAAATGTCAATTCTACAGTCAGCTTTCTCCAGTATTATATAGCCCTCTTTTGGTCCCTTTGTCTCTTCAATCTTGACTGTCTTATAAAAATATCTAGTCTACCTTCATTAGATCGACACTGTCAAACCCCTGATTTTGATCCTAAAAAATGCAAGGTGGTAATAACCCACAATGCCTTGCCATAAACAGCCCCCCAGCTGTTCAAAGACCACGAGAACAACATTTGCTGCCGGGGGTTGAGAACTTCCTGTTACCATGACAACCACGGAACAATTCATATTCTGTGTCTCTCCTCTAATAAAGTGTGTAACATTAGGGCGTAATTGTATTTCTATGCAATATATGAAAATAGCCCTTTGCATTCAGGAACGCCTGATAGCAGTCGTCAAAAACGTCTGGAAGAATGACAGACATCTTGTTTGTATCGGAAGATTGCTTCATGAGATTTGGCATCACAAAATCAATAAAACTGGATCAAAAATGTAACCTTGACCAATGTAAACTGACCACCGTGCTGAAAACACATTGTATTGTTATTTGCTGCCTATAAACCATAAATAGCTTTTAAAAGCATGATGGTGAAGGGTCTGTGTCTTTAAGATCACTTATAGTAACTTATGGAAGTGTGGCTGGACCAAGGAGGTTTGATGAGTTGAATGATAAGCAGAATTCCTGGGAATTAGAAGGGATTTAGCGGACAATAGCAGGTATTCCTACTAGTGTAACCAGACCCTAGTTGGCGTCATGAGAAGCTTAAACTTCACATTAAACCAGTGTGCAGCTGACACAAAAGGCCACACTAGACACAACAAGGGGAATATGGAGCAACACGCAGACACATTAAGCTTATATATACACACTGAGATCAAAACAAAGCACATGGTGAATGAAGCACGAGTTTATTTTGTTACCATTCAGACCGACACACTAACTCACAAAGCAATATTAGCGCTTAATGAAGTATACACCGTGCTCTCCATGTCGAAACAACACTTCCATACTCAGAGCATAACACATTTCCCTTGATCTGAATCTTGGAATTTTTGCTGCAGTCTTCTCCACATTAGTGAGCTATAGTGAAAGGACTTAACTGCTAAAAAATATCTCTAGGCGAGCAATGAGACAGGTAGATCTGGGCTCTTATCCGGAACAAATCCTTCTAAATCTTTTAAATGGCACACCACCTCACCATGAAATTTTGATTTTCCTCAGACTTTTGGAGAAGAGTTTATGGGAACTTTTAAATCTGTAATTCCTCTACCTTTGAAAGGCAGAATCTGTAATGATGACATGGTATTAAAAGCACAGGTCATTTTAATAAATTAATGTAAATTTGATTGTTTCATGATTTTGTTAGGTAAGTGAGAATAGGAGCAGGCTTCACTCAATTTATACACTAATAAACTTGTGCTGGCCTGGATGATTAGAATATGAAAAATAGGAGAGAGGCCGCATTAAATAAAAATAAAAAGAACATATGCATATTTCGGCCTCTCTTCTATTCCTATTTAATGAATTGTTAAACATTTTTCCATTTAGTACATGCACACTACCGTCCGTCAAATGTTTTTTTTTTTTTTTTAAGAAGTCTCTTATGCTCAGCATGGCTGAATTTCTTATATCAAAAATACAGCAAAAACGTAATATTAGGAAATATTACAATTTTAATAGGCCAATTCTAAAATGTAATTTATTCTAGAGAAGTAGCCATTACACCAGCAGTGTCACATGATCCTTCAGAAATCATTCTATGATTTGGTGCTCAAGTAATATTTATTTTTGTTATCACAGTTAAAAACAAAGCTGTTTAATAATTTTGTGGGGAAAAAAATTCTGAATTCTTCAGTGCTTAGAAATTTACATTTAAAAAAGCATTTATTTGAAATATAAATCTTTTGTAACAATGTAAGTCTCTTTTGCTCAATTTAATCCTTGCTGCATAAAATTATGTTCTTCTTAGTGACCCCAAACTTTTAAATGGTAGTGTAAGAAGCGTTTACATGATGGTACAGTGTTGTCAGTGTTTGAGAGGATATTTTTTAGACCGTTGCTATGCAGTTGCTATATAATTGTGGTTGTCTAAATCAAAACAATAAATTCTGTTTGACTCAAATGCCTCCTTCAAATGTAAGTCTGAGATATTTTTGTTTTGTTTTAGGCTACAAAAAGAAAAATTGGTCAATATTTTACAAATTAACATAACTATTACTACTAAAATCGTACTAAAACTACTATGACAAAAGCCGATGGTCACCTTGCTGTGTGGAAAATCCATCCCTGATCGCACATGCTC